GGGCCGGGCTGGAGCTTTTCCCCTGGCTGGGCAGAGCAGGAGCAGCTCTGTGGGTGCCCCTGCTCCTGGAGCCCTGCACTCCCAGCCCTGTCCCAGGGCTTCTCACCACAAACTGCACGTCCACACGTGGAAAAGCAGCAAAAGAACCAATAAATGTGCCCCCAATATAAATTCATGAGCGAGGCAATTGAATAGGATCATTCTGTCACAAGGGTTGTTTTCTATTTGCCTTTTTAATTTGAAATATTCAGAACAGTTTGAGAGTTTTGACGTGAAATGAAATCCTGAGCTGGTTTCTGCCAAATTGCAGTTGTACAGCCTTGGCTTAGCAATATATTGCCAGCTGGAACTGGGGCAAAGTAAATCCACATACATTATATAACTTCAATTGGTTTATACAAGGAGAAGGGGGTATAATATCTAAAGCCTTTTAAATAAGGGATAAATGCAATGCTGGGAATTTGTTAATATTATCCCATGCTAAGTTTTAAAATGCATTTACAGGTGCAGTATTTAAAGGTGGGGGATCATTTGCTTCCCTGTGTCTGGGAGGTGTCACTGCTGGGGGTGCCCATAGATTGTTGTCCTGTGGTTGGATATTGTGGTGAGATGTTGTTGTGAGGAGCTCAGTGGATGTACCCAGATTGGTGGGGGTGAGCTCCTCCTTCCAGCCAGAAAAGGAAGGAAAGAAACGATTTGCCAGAGTGAATAGAAATGGTTGTGGTTTAAGGCTCCGCCTCTCCTGTAAAGCTCATGAAAGTCAGTCAGGAGCTCCAAAACCAGCTCCTGCTGTCAGAGTTATTGACCAGCCCGGAGACAACCATCCAGACCTTCTTATTTTAATAGGAGAAAATTCATTTATTGACATTTTAAAGCATGTTGACTACCTTGGGGAGATAGAGATAGTATTTTTAGGTGTCTCAGTTGTGGTGGTTTTCTTATGTCATCACTTCCATTTCAGAGTCCAGGGCAGAGCAAAAGAAAGACCAAGGCTGTGATCTTAGAGACCCCTATATCCACTTAACTTGGTGCCCTTGGAGTGATGGGGTGGGAGGTGGCAGCACTGCAATGGCAAATGCAGTCCAGGGATTTTGCAACAATAAGTGTAATACAGAAGCCAAATTAAAAATAAGTCACCCAAAAATAGACTGTACGTCCCCAAGCCTTGTGTGTGAGCCTGGAACACAAGACAGTGTCAGTCACTAACCCCAAATCAGGGAAGAGGCCTCGTGCCACAGGTGACAATGAAGGGCAGGAATCCACTGCTGCCCGAGCTGCAGTCCAGCCAGAGGGCTGGGAATTGTTTCCACATGATGTGAGGGGCTGCTTTGGGATGAGCTGGTGGCACAAAGGCCCCCCTCTCTCTAGGTGGCAGCTGGGCAGTTCAGGCACAGGACAAAGGCCAAAGAACAGGCTTTTAGGACTGTTTTACTCTATTTGAAGCAAGTTTTTTATGCTGTCACTGCCACACGTGTTGGCACATTTGAGGGCGTGACAGGATTTGGCTGAATCTGAAGGCCAAGGTTTGTGCTGCCCTTGTTCTCCCCCAGGGAGATGTTGCAGCTGCAGCATGTGGGCATTTGGGCCAGAACTGTCATGGAATCAGTGACTGGCTTGGGTTGGAAGGACCTCAAAGCCCATCCAGTGCCACCCCTGCCATGGGCAGGGACACCTCCCATCAGCCCAGGTTGCTCCAACCTGGCCTTGGACACTTCCAGGGATGGGGCAGCCACAGCTTCTCTGGGCAGCAGTGCCAGGGCCTCCCCACCCTCCCAGGGAAGGATTCCCCACCTCCCTGTTGCTGTAGGATGGAATGTCACCTGTGGGATGTGCCAGGGGCAGCAGGACCTGGCACCAGGGGCTTCACAGGCAGCAGCTGAAGGCACAGGAGCTGCAGAAAGAGACTCCAAGGAGACAATCAGAACATTATAGATCCTTAACTTAATAACTTTACACAATTAAGAATTATATGCTAATATATCAATACAGAAAGACATGATACTGCATATTAATTGTCTCCATTTGAATGTCACGTAATACAACCAGAATTTAAAGTCAATGTAATTACCTTTGCTACTAATTTAATTAGCATTCATTTAGAAGAAAACATCCTTTGGCATTTGACAGTGTTTAACTTCATGTTGCTTTTTCAGAAATAACTCCTGGGGGGGAAAATCAGTTAGGGAGTGTCTGAAAAATTCAAAGCTATTTGGAAATTTGTTTTCTTGATTTCCTTCCCATGTGAATGCTCATACGAAAATAAGCCTCAGGATTTTAGAATTTTCATTTTGTGTGAAGGAATGTATCCAATAATAATAATAATAATAATAATAATAATAATAATAATAATAATAATAATAATAGTAATGTTCACAGAATACACTCAAATCAATGATCAGCAGCACCAGTTTCTTAGGAGAGGTGAAGGAAGGGATTTTGTGCTTCTTTGGGGTTTTGGTATGTTCCAAAGTGTTGCTGGTGGTTGCTGATGTTTGTAGCTGCTCGTGTAACACATGGAATACTTTGATTTCAGTATTTTTGATGATTGTGTAATCTGGAAGACTTGATGGCAGTTCAGAGCACCTGCTGAACCAGCAAAGGTTGGTGCTCAGGTGGAAATGAATGAATAATTCTGAGCACCCTCAGAAAAGCTGGAATTCTTGCTGTCTGCCAGTGCCACGAGCCAGCCCAGAGGGTGGTTTTCCTCCACTCACTCCATGCAGCCCATGTGCAATCTCTCCATGGACTTTGCTTTAAATTCAAACTTCAAGATAACTTATTAAAAGACTATTTTTAGAGATTATACCCCTATAAAAATCATCAGAGGTATCTTTTTTCCTCAGCCTTGGGGCTTTGCTGCCTGCCCTGTTACTGCAGCACAATCTTACAGCACTTAAGCCCTTACAAAAGATAACATGCTCTTTATGGGGTTTAAAGATAGCTTATTTCAGATTAATTTCAATGAACCAAGAATAAACTGAATCTGAGGAAAGCCTTTTACTGATCCAGTAATTTCTGCACTTTGCAGCAATTAACTTAAAGATGATGTAATTAAAGTGCTGAGTTTCTGTGTGCAAGGAAGGGTTTACAAAAATGACTGCTGGCCTTTTATATTTTGCATGAGGATTTTATGAACCCATCTGCCTTCAAAAATAACACCAATTTTGGGGAAATTTCACTTGTGACCTCCTTTGGGGTGTGTTGCAAAACACGTTGATTCTTTGAGGAAATGCAGGTGAGTTCAGTTGTTTATTCCTTGCTCCCTAAAAACCAGGGAGGGGTTAAGAGAAGAGGTGTAACAGAAATGTGGATCATGGAAATGTTTTCCAGGGCAGAGCTGTTGCAGAAAGTGCTCTTTTCCCAGTGTTGATCTTTTCTCACAGTGTGATTATTATGAATTATTTTCTGGTGTCTGTGACTGTGACACATCCCTGAGGTGGCAGAGAGAGGAAGGGAGAGCTGGCTCTTTGTTTTCTGTCTGTAGGCTCTGTATCCCAAGGGGAGAGGTTTGCATCCAGAAATCCAGGACAAAATAATTTCTCCTATGGAAACATTATGGAATATAATTAATTGTAGAAATATTTATTATTTTTTTTTTATTTTTAATCATTCAGATGACTTTTTTTCTAGACACTGAGACAGACTCTGGCCTGGCTGCCCAGGACTGTGGGAAGGGATTGCCATCTGCTGGCAGCCACCCCTGCCAGAGCAGGAGAGATTCCAGGAGAGGTTCCCACTCCTCAGGTCCTGCAGGAGTTGGGTGATTTGCTGAGAGCCCAAAGTTCAGTCCAAGCTGAGCAGTGACAAATCCCAGGAGTTCTGTGTGCCCTGGCACAGGGGGGATGGGGTTGGTGAGTTTGTGGCTCCTGCTGAGGACACAGCCCAGCCTGTGGTGGTGCCCGGGTTTAAGGAGTGTGGCCCCGGCTGATCAGACTATGCTGTCTCCTGGTTTGTGATTCAACACCTGTCTGGGAGTCAGTAACACTCCCTGGGAGTGACCAAGGCCAGCTTGGGCTTGGAGCAACCTGGGATAGTGGAAGGTGCCCCTGCCCATGGCAGGAGATGAGACTGGGTGGGCTTTAAGGTCCCTTCCAACCCAAACCATTCCATGAACCAGCTTCCAAAATCAAAAACCAGTCAGTTCTGGGAGCTTAGTTTGTGGCAAAATACATTCTCAGTGAAGAGCCTACAGAAATGAGAAAGGCAGGGAGAATTAATGTCAAACAAACAGCAAAATCCATGTTCCTGCCTGTAAGTATTGCTCCTTGCGTGGTCTGAACAGCAGCCAAAGTGCCCGGGCTGGGTCACTGTGGAGTGTCCCTGGCAGTGCCCAGAGGTTCCCCAGGCTGAGGGCAGGGGGGTTCAGGTGCTTCATTTCCTGTCACTGTTGTGGGGTTCATGTGAACAGGGACAAAGACACCCCAGGGTGAGAAACGAGCCTTTCCAGAGCCCTGGAACATGACAAGTCCCTTTCCCGTGGAATGCTTTAAATACAGCATATTTAGCTTCTTTAAAAAACCAACCCCACCCCTTCTCTGTGCATACAGACCCCGTGCCCCAGGGCTGGTGCAGCAGAGCATCCTGTGAAGCATCCTGGCTCCCTGGAAACAGGAGTTTGCTCTGGCTGTCACCAGAGGGAACTGCAGCACCAGTGGAGGAGCTGCTCTCCCTCACACACCTTTGCTGAAGGGCTCGGTGGTTGCAGCCATATCTTGCTCCTAAAGCTGCCTCTATTGTTACAAATTAGATAATTTTTTAAACTGTGCATGAAAATGTCCATTTTTAATGCTTTTGAGAACTTTATTTCTGGTCAGATAAAACTCGGTAATATCTTAATGACTTTTTAAGGCTTGCAAAGCTTTTTTGAATTAAGTGATTTGTCACTTTAAAAATGCTTTTTTCCCCCAGAAAAAATGAACCCCAGAGGGTTCATTTTAAAAAGGAATATATAAGTTCTAGAAAAGGAAAGGAACAAAGATGCCTCTCATGTTCTCCCTCAGGTAGATGGACTGCAAAAGGAGAGCTCATCCCCACGGAGGTACAGGATCAGGGAAGCTGATGCCAGAACCGCCTGGGAAGGCAGGGAGAGGATGGCTTGAGTGGCTGCCCGAGCCAGTCCCCTGAGGAGGACAGTGCCAGGCCTGGCACCGAGGCCACAGGGATGCAGGTGGCCCTTGGAGTGGTGAGTCTGGAGAGTGCAGAGCTCTCTGCCCCTTGCAGATGTGTGCACAGGGCTGAGTCCTCTGGGACACTGGGGCATCTCTGCTGACCCCAGTGGGGCTCTGATTTATCACAAGTTGTTTTCTTCTGTGCTTGAAGTTTGTCCCAGCCTTACTTCTGCTGGTTTTGAAGAGCAGGGAGTGCTGACAGGGGCAGAGAAGAGCAGGGTATCTGTGGGTGTTTCTGTGGGGAAGGTGCAGTTTGCAGTGGAGACTTGAGGGCACAGGTTCCAGGGCTGGCTGACACCCAGCTGAGCTGTAGTTTTCTCATACATGGTGGTGCTGGGCTGATGGTTGGACTTGATGATTTTAAAGGTCTTTTCCAACCTTAACCATTCCATGAATTTATGAAAATGTAGACTAAAAGATTTTTAAGAAATGCTTCCTTTTGTTCATAAGAGGACATTGAAATCATCTTGCTCCATTTTATCTGGTGTTTGTGGTCAACCAGAATGGGCAAATCAAGAAATAAACGAGTTCAATCTTAGATAAACATGGTATTTTAGAAAGTCTTTCACAACTTATGGTAATGAACTTCTTTTTTCCTTAGCCAGTTAGTGTTTTGCCATTGTGTTCCTTGCTGGCACGAGCTGATGTTCTTTCAGAGGACACAGGAAGATCAAATAAAGATGTTTTCTGCCCATGACTGGCTTTGTCCAGCACATGAGCTGAAATCACACAGGCCAGGGGTTGTTTGGGAATGCAGCATCTTCACTCTGAGTTGTTTTCAACCAGGAAATTTAGGGCTGGACCAAGAACTGGGACACACGTCCCAGCTGAGCAGTTCAGTCCCTTCTTTTTCAGGAACTAGAACAAAGGAACAACCAAAATTGTGATCCAACATCCAGCTGTTCCCATCTCTGTGCCCAGGTCCATCCTGGTAAAATCCTTGTTGGAGTGTCCCATGTTGCTCCTGCTTCCTGCTCTGCTGCCTCCCCCCCTCAGCCACCCTCTGAAGGAAGCTTTGCCTTTCTCAGCAGAAGTGCAGCAGGATAAGTCTTGAGTTTTAACTTGGTCCAGAAGTTGGGATCCAAGTGACATACTAAATGCCTTTAAATTCTGAAGAAGATGCCAATTTTCCTTCAGCTGTGACAGTAAAGGCACACCAACTGGTTGCAGTAATGTATAAATCATAACACACATCCTCCAGAAAGCTGCCAGTTCTCAAATCATAAATGCTTGGGGATTTGTGGGGTGTGGTGGGCTGAGTGTCCTTCCACAATAATAATCACTGGAGAGGAAGAAATGGGTGAAGTTTTTATTTGAAGTATCTGAACCTTGTCCTGTGGCTGACCCTGGGCCTGGCAGCTCTGGGGGTTCAGTGTCAGCCCAGCTCAGGGGAAGGTGAGTGGTGCTGGGTCAGATGTGGCTCCAGAGCTGCTCTGACTCCAAAAATGTGCAGTTCCAAACGCTTGGCTCCCCGTGCTGCCCTGGGCTGGGCTGTGCCAGGGCTCAGCAGGCTGCTCCTGCTGCAGTCACCTTGCAGTCACCTCCAGCTCCGTGCTGGAGATCCCACTGGGCTCTGCCCGTCAGCTCTGGGTCAGGCAGATGCCTCCCCACAGCTATCCTGTGCCAGCCAGGGTGGATTTGCATCGCTCAGCTGCCGTGGAATGGAGCTGTACAAAGGCAGCCCCATGTTGTCATCGTTATTTTTAGACAGCAGTGGGGAACCAGTCCAGCACTGCTGTGGCACATGTCGAGGGGGACACGATAGAGCAGTTCCTCCATCAGATTTGCAGCTGGTTTTTAGCAGGTATCTCAGCACTCAGTGAGTGGTACTTCTCTCTGCCAAGAGAAATGACGTGCAGACCCCAAGCCCTGGGAAACAGTCTGTGGAATTAAATATTTAGTAGCTTAATACATGGATTTTTTTCAGGTCTTCAGTTGCACAGTTATCAAATAAATCAGCCTTTATTTTCATGATGTAAATGTGAGTAGAAGTAACGCCTGGCAATTTCTAAGGGAGCTTTCAAGTGCTAAGACTGGTGTGAGTAATAAAATGCATTTCATTAGACGAGTTTTCCACACATAAACCTATTTCTTGAAAGCAAAAGTCTAATATTCTCCCATGTTAGTCTGCGTGTCACAGGAGTGTATGGCAAAGTCATAAAACAATTCAAGGCATATAAATGTGGCTTTTGATTTGCTAGTAAATCAGGGGTAAGGAAAAAGCTCAACTGAAAGAAAGAAATGTGATTTAAAAATTAATACCAATATTACAAAGCTGTAAAGATTTTATTACTTGGAGCATTCCCTCTGTGAAGATGAGTTGGTCTGTCCCCCTCCTGTCCTCTACAGCAGTTTAGCCTGCAGCTATTTATATGGCTTATTTATATGTTTGTAAAACAAAGCCCTGCTTTGCCAGCCTGCTGCATTGTGTGCAGATTTCCAGGGATTACAAGTACAGTAACGAAGACAGAAATTCAGCTTTTTAGTATTTAATGTCTGGGTACTGGTGAAATGAAGAAGACTGGGACGTACTCTCAACATACTGGCTATTTTAACACCAAAAATGGCCAACTGGCTTTGCAGAGTGGGTGGTGTGTCAGTGAGGTTCTGACAGTTCCCTCCCAAACATCAGGCTCTAAATCACTGGGATCCAGCAGAAAGAGCCCAAGAAATGCATCCATGGGGTTGTTTCCATGCAGTTGATATTTGCTCTCTGGGCTGTGCTCCCAGCATTCCATGTGGAAACCTGTCTCTGGTGCAGAAGGGGAAATTCTACCTCTCAGTGAGGTGCTGTGGGATCGTTTACAGCCAAAGCTTTCCTTAATATTGCCCGAGAGGCACCGACTGGGGAGGGGAGAGCAGAGCTCCCGACTGCACCCCGAGGGGTTTGGGGGCGGCTCCAACCCCGCCCAGCTGAGCCTGTGCTGCCTGACAGCCCCTGTGTGTGGGCACGGGGCAGGGGCAATGCTGAGGGTTCTGTGTGTGGGCACAGGGCAGGGGCAATGCTGAGGGTTCTGTGTGTGGGCACAGGGCAGGGGCAATGCTGAGGGTTCTGTGTGTGGGCACGGGGCAGGGGCAATGCTGAGGGTTCTGTGGGCACAGGGCAGGGGCAATGCTGAGGGTTCTGTGTGTGTGGGCACAGGGCAGGGGCAATGCTGAGGGTTCTGTGTGTGGACACAGGGCAGGGGCAATGCTGAGGGTTCTCATGGGAGATCTGTGCCCGGTGATGTTACAGGAAAACCCATTCCCAACAACGTGGTTCAATGGCCCTGTCGGCTGCGTGGCCCAGGGTTGGATTGTCCCACAGGGAAGCTCCTACATAACCATCCTGCCTGTTCAAGGGCTCTGGGTCACATTTCTGCCACTGTTGGCTGGATTGTTCCCATTTTCTTTAGGATTGGACTCTGGCTTTAATCACCTCATTGCATGTTAACTTCCCGTGACAGTTGAACTTGATTGTAGAGGTCTTTTCCAGCCTTAATAGTTCCATTAGCACTCCATGGTCCCCTCCATGCTCCAAGGCAGATGCTGAGGGTCCCTGGCTGATGGAGGAGCACTGACAGCTCCCCAGGTCCTCCCTCCCTGGCAGCTTTGGGGCAGGAGCAGTTGAAGGGCTGGAACAGGATGGCTCAGTCTCCCGAGGTTAAACAGCTCAGACAGGATGGCTCAGTCTCCCAAAGGAAGGCTCCAGGCTCCCACAGCTCCTCTGTGGGCTGAGGGAACAGCCAAAGATAGTGATCAGTGCAATGAAGCACTTTGGCTTCTGAGGTGGGATGCTTGGAAGGCAGCAGGGATGTTGTTCCCTCCAGCCCTTCCCCAGAGCTTTGGCACAGCTCAGACACCTGCAGAGGGTTTTTGTGCTCCCCAGGGCCGGCGCCGTGCGCGGCTCCGCTGGGCAGAGCAGACTTTGAACCTGCCAGCCAAGGAATGCAGCTGGGCTGTTTGTTTTTCCTTCTGGCAGAGCCCACGTGGTTCCAAAGAAGAGAATGGAATATTTTCTAAAACATCAGCACTGGTTTTTCCCCTTAAAGTTGCTTCTCTCCCAGGAAGCCTCGCAGCCCTGCTGCCTCAGTTCCTCCTCCTGACTTTAGCCCTCATTCTCTTAAAGCACTGAGACATTTAAAGCATTTGAAGTGATTCCCAGCCTCGAGCACTTAATGGAAATGAAGTCAAGGAGGCTGCTCCAAAGGTTCCCGAAGTGAGACCAATCTGAGCACCTCAGTGAGCTGGGGGCTAAAAAAGAGATCTAATTCCCAAACCCAATTCCCATCTAACTCTGGACATGGAGTATCTCAGTGTCCCAGCACAAGCTCAGAGGGAAGAACATACAGAAATTATCACGTAATTTGAAACACAAATAGAAATGAGGGAGTTGTTTTTCTTGTGTATTGTTGTTCAGCAGCAAAGCAGTAGATATGTTTTGCCACAGATCAATCTGAGTTTTTTCTTAAGCCTTGTGTCCTCTCCTTGGTTTTTTTTTTTTTATATTTTGAGACTGTCCCCCTGCTTTTTTTTTATCTGTTGGACTGAGCTCTATTGTAGGATTGATGTGTGCAGTCCATTTCTCAGTTCCAATCAGAAGATGTGCTGTTTAAAATAATGTCTGTATTGTTACTCTGCTCTTTGCTGCAGTTACAACTTTGATGCCCTTGATGCCCTGCTCAGGACGTGCAGGACAGCACTGGCTGTGGGTGCAGCTGGACTGGGGCAGCAGTGCCCAGAGCTGGGCAGAGCAGCAATGACTCGCTGCCCTTGCTTGTGGCAACTGGGCCTGGAAAGATCCCAATCCCTGAAGATCAGGTGGTCTTGTCAGGAATACATGGTTCCTGGTGGAAATTATTTCCATGAGATCAGATGGATATATATAATCAGCAGAACCAAACCAGATAGGATTCTTATGGGAACAGCTGTGCAGCCAAGGAAGTCATTGTATCAGAGATGGCTTTCTCAATAAATATATTGCACAGAGTCATATTTCTTTTTGCAACAAATTGGATCTTATCCAAAAAGATTTGCTCTATAGCAAAGCCAGACCAAGACAGCAAAGCTCACAGTTTGTTCTTGTGTCTCAGACTGTTGTGATAGGCTGAATTGTGCACGGCATAATAAAGTGCTTTATAGCCCTGAGTTTTATTTTGGGTAAGTAGTAATGAAATCACCTTCCCTACGTGGTGTTTGGGGAAAGACAAGCAGTTTTTAAAGAGAACTGTCTTGCTCAAAAATGCAGAGAAGTGGCAGAAAACAGCTGTAGAGACATCGAGGTGTATCAAGGCTGGGTTGGATGGGGTCTGGAGCAACCTGGGCTAGTGGGAGGTGTCTGTGCCTGTGGCAGGGGGTGGCACTGGATGGGCTTTAAGGTCCTTCCAACCCAAACCAGTCTGTGATTGTGTGCCATTGATGAAAACTTCCTTAGGTGACATGACTTGGCTTCAGTTCTTGTTCTGGAATCATCATCTTAGAATTCCCTCCGGGCTCCAAAGCCCAGGGAGTGTTTATAGTGCGCAATAAACCATCTCTGCAGGGCTGAATTTGTCTCTGATGTAAAACAACTGCTCAGCACAGTGTGGCCAGAGCTCAGTGCTGCTCCCCCTCTGTGGATGTCAGAGTGTTCTTTGGGCTGGTTATAGAGACTCCAAGGAAGACGTGATCCCACAGCCATTGTATGAGGGGAAGCAATTCTGAATAAAGGTGATAATTGATTTCTTTAGTGTAAAGTATTTAATTTTTAATCAACAAACAGATAAGAAAGCGATCATCTCTCTTAGATCTGCTTAACGTGTTTCTGAGCACTGTCCTGTCTTCTGGGAGCCCACAAGAAATTCCTCTCAACTATATGAACATCCAGATTAGATCTCTCGAAATCATCCTTGTACCTGTTACCTGGAATGGCTTTGGAGCAGCCGTTTCTGTCCTTTTCCAGTTCAGAAGCACAGGAAGAATCCCTGATTCATTTAATCTCCAGGCACAGGTCTGAGATGGGATTATGTATAAACTTGGTGAATGTTAGAGAAAGTCTCCTCCCATTCCTGAAGGAAAGCCTTTGGATCAGGGCATGTGTGCTGTTCCTCTGAGCGTTCTGCACACTTGGTTCATTTCCCCTGAACACTTTTTCCTGCTTATTGGTGAAACCCAGGATCACTCTGAGGGATCTTCACACGCAGCTCCCCTTTGCTGTGACATGACCTGCTGTGCAGTTTGTGCTTTTGGCTCAGATCTGGTACTTGTCTCCATGTTTTTTCTCCTTTGAATTAGAGACAGTTTGCAATAATTTATCCTGTTTGGGACAAAATAAGTCTCAGATTTTTTTAGGAATATTCCTTCCTGGAATTTTGTTGTCCACTTCCCCCAGGAGTGCTGAAAACCTGTGGTTGCACCCTGTACCCGTTCAGGGGGAGGGAACTAAATGTGCCTCTGTGCTTTGTGCAGAATGAGATTCCTGGTGCTGCTTAGGAAAGAACTAATAACTGCAGAAGTATCTGAGTAGGGCTTGGCTTGGGTTTTGATAGGAGAGGGATGAGAGGAGATGTGGGGGATTAAGAACTGGGTCCCTGTCACGCTCTAAATATGTGGATGGTCATAAATATTATCTGAACTTACCATGTGGTGTTTCATGGCTATAAAGAGACCACAAAGCACTTTTCACCCTTGTTTCTCTCCCCCTTCAAAAACTGAGCTCCCTTTATTCACTTTGCTCGGAGACAGATGTGCAGCTGGAGGACCAGGCAGAGGTAACCCTGAATCCCCTGAATTCCTGCCTTTTTAGACAATTGAATGCGTGTAGCCAAACCCTGGCACGAGTGAGCCAGGCAGCTGCAGCACATTCCAAATATCGCTCTATTTAAAGCATCCCAAGGCTCCCAGAACAACTGCAGAGACAAACCTTAAACCTGCCATTAAACCAGCAGAGGGGGAATGGCAGAACCAGGTAAGGTGCACTGTGAAATGTGAATGTAACAATATATTAAAATGAATAAACCTGAGCAATGTAGTGTGAAAATACTCAGCTATTTGTATTCTCGTTGAAACACTATGTATTTTACTTTTCAGTAACAGTTACCAGTTTAAAATGTGACAATACTCAGCTACTTGTATTCTTGTTGAAACACTATGTATTTTATGTTAAGTTACCAGTTTAAAAGCTAATTCTATTAACAGCAGTGAGTTAAAAGTAGCTTGTCTTCCTCCTGTATTTCTAAATCCCACCAGTTTTTTCTTTAGTGTTTTGTAGCTGTAATTTCAGGTTAGTGAACACAATAGAACAGAACTGTGTAAAATGAGATCTGTTTGACAGCATTTTTGATGTCTGTGTGTAGCTGAGCTCTGAGTGCAGTTCTGGGTGAACGTAGAATAATTTAGATTTTAACCCCACAAAGCTTGAGTGACAGAGCAAAATGAAATTTTAATAATGAGCTTTCCATTGTAAGCACACCTCACTGTCTCCAAGGAGAAAAGGCAGCTTATAAAAATGCATTTTGTATCCATTGTCATTTTTTATTTACTTCACTTAAACTCCCAGCTGTAAGTGTATCTGTGGTGTTTGCTGTGCACAGGTCCTCAGGTAACACTTGTCCTTGTAAAAGGAACTTTTTAATCCATCTTCATAGCTATGTTAAAAGTTTCTAAAGACTTATCTGCTGGGTTCTGCACCGTTTACTCTGGTATGTGAGGAGGAGAGTGAATTTCTGCTGAGGTACAGCAGGATGCTGAATGCTGTTTTCATTGGTATCCACAGAAATTACACCGACACTGGTTTAACCTGGGTCTCACATGACAGACTCCCATAGTCAGCAGACACAGCAGCATGAGCAGAGCTCTGACAGAACTGCCCTGTGCACCCAGCAGGATCCAGCCTTGGGGCTGTAATTAGACCTTTAGAAAAATGGCAAGTAAAGAGAAATGATTCCCGGAGAAGCAGCTTTACCTTGCACAGTGTCAAAGCCATAACAGTCTTTAAATTAAACAGGTAAGGGAGCTTAAATTAAACTCCCCTGTGGCAAAAGGACTCCCAGTTTCAGAGCAGGATTTTATCTTTGCTGTTGTGGTTGTTTATCTGTTTAATATTTTCATGGCAGCACATGCAGATTTTCTGTCTGTGCTCTCTCCCTCTGGCAGACACACCATGCAGTGTCGTGGAGAGAGGTCTGTTGTGCACAGCTTTGAAAGAGCAATGTGGCAATCCTTAATTATTAAGCATCCCTCTAAGTCTGCCTGCTTGATCTAAACTGTGCAAGGTGCTGTGAATAGCTTTACATAATTTATTAATCCCTTCAAAAACCTGGAAATGTATTAACTGCAGAGAGATCTGCTCTAAGAGGTTGTAATATGTTGGTAAGTAATAGGATTCTGCTTTCTGGCAAGAGACTGCTATTTGCAGGAAACCGATAGAAGAGTCTTTAAAATTCTGATGTTGTACAGAAATATATTTATATAAAGCCAGTCCTGCTTTCCATGTGCTCCGTGGAGAACCATCACCTGCACTGGGCTCCTTGTTCTAGGACTAGTGGGCAACTCACCCCTTGTTTGTGGCTGGCCCAGCTGGAAGAGTTTCCACATTGGACACTCCTGTGGTATTTTCCTGCTAGAAAGGAGGAAACAGCCTTGCAGTGGTTAATCACCTCAGCCTGAGCTCCCTGTGTGGCTGTGGGGACAGGACACGAGAGGGATGCAGTGCGCAGCCAGGGGTGCTGGGAATCTCTGCTGTGCAGCCACTGCCACCATCCTTTGGGGTGTGGGAATTCAGTGTCCCCTCAGTGCAGCCACTGCCACCATCCTTTGGGGTGTGGGAATTCAGTGTCCCCTCAGTGCAGCCACTGCCACCATCCTTTGGGGTGTGGGAATTCAGTGTCCCCTCGGTGCAGCCACTGCCACCATCCTTTGGGGTGTGGGAATTCAGTGTCCCCTCGGTGCAGCCACTGCCACCATCCTTTGGGGTGTGGGAATTCAGTGTCCCCTTCCTGCAGGTCCAGGCACACGGATGGTCAGGCGGGCTGGGACACTCCTGGTTTGATGTGTTGGGATCATTCCCTGCCTGTGTAACGTGGCCTCTCAGTCACAGCCCCTCTCCTCCCTTGCAGCCCCAGCCCCGCTGTCCCGCCTGGTTGTCCCTGTGCTCCTGGCACTTGGCTGGCTCCTGGGATGTGCCCTCATGGTTTACATTGTCTTCTCCTGATGGCAGTAAGTGACTGGCACGTGCCACACGCCACCTCTGCTTCCCTTGCTTGGCACTGCCACCTTTCAAATGGAATTTGCTTTGTCTTACAGGACAGAAGAATTTACAGGGATGTTGATTAGAAGAACCTGGAAGTTCAACTGAGATTTCTAATGGCTAAAATAAGTATAAAATGAGTTATTTTTAATATCAACACTGTAAACATGGTGTACGCTTTTTATCCACAGTGTTTCACATGTAATTAGAGCTTTAGGAAGAGTCACCAAACCAATTTCCCAGTTTCCACATGGTTTGTAATGGGGTGAGTGGTTTTGGAGTCCTGTATAGGTGGACACCTGCCTACCTGCTGAATAGCAAACTTTTAAAATAGCTAAGGAGCTTCAAACTTGTTAGAAACAGGCAAGGGTTAATTTCTCATGGGGCCTGGGGAAGTATTTTTAGCCTTATTATGGGGAAGATCTATTGGAATCTATTGTTATGAAACAGAAATATGTACGTCCTTCGAACAGAAAACCTCAGGCTTTTTTAGGGTTGGGAGGGCTGTTGTACAGCTCAGTGTGCCTGGAATCATGGCTCAGGCTCGCTCTGGCCCCCTGACTGTCTTGTACTTGGGGGGGTTGTCTTTTTTAATTATAATTGGAGATAATTATATTCCCCTTATGGATAATGTGCCTTGAGAACTTCCAGCGACTTTGCCATTTAAATCAGAAATAATCGTCAGATGATCTGAGCTGCTGCATTTTCACAGACAGCCTTGAGCTTTTGAGCATGAAGGGTTTTATACTGAAGAGTTGCAGTTCTCAGAAGACAAAATCATTAATAATTCAATCCCCAGTTAAAGCAGAGAACTGACTGTGGGAGGCATGTCTGGGAGATCCCAGCAAGATGAATGTTTAAGGGAATGTGAAAAAAACCTTAATGACCCCTGGTGGGGTTAAACACAGAGAGAAGCTATTTTTTTGGCTCCTGCTTACACAATTTGTATAAGTTTGAGAATGTGAGGAAGGCACATCAGTCAGACATCCTGTCTCCATCTGTGGGCACTGTCTGTTGTCCTTTAGGAATGGAAACACAAACATATTTGTCTGTAGCGCAGCCGTGAACATTCCTTGGCCGCTCCAGCAGCCTCAGCAACAGCACTCAAGTGTGACATTCCCCTTGGGAATTGTCCCAACACCGAGTTGCTTCACCTGCAAATGACCTGAGGGCACAGGGGGATGCTGTTTCATCAGGTGTCCTGGAAGAGAGGGGACAAACCCTGCAGTCTCTTGGAGAGCTGGAGATTCCCAATCCCTGCAGCAAGTGAGGACCTCCAGCATCACTGTCAGTCACTGCCAGGTGAGAACATCCCCTCCAGCTCACCTGTACAGGTGGGCTGTGTGAGCAGACACCTCATTATCTCCTTTTCAGGACCAGTTCCTGGGTTTCTAAGACTGAGCCCACCCTGACTGATCCCAGCTCTGACTGACACAGGGCCAGCAGAGACTCCATAGAAACCATGTCCATGTTTTCACATCTCAGCTCATTTACCAGGCCTGGAGGGAAACGTTCTGAGAGATCCTGTTGGCCCAAGTGGCTCTTTGGGTGTCTCACAACACTGGAAATCGAATGTTTCCAATTAAAATGTTACAGAGCTGAAATATAAACACTACAATCTGGTTTAGCTTTACCTGATTTTTGAGAGCAGAAAGATCTGATTTGGCAGAGCAAAACAAAATAACTTTCTAGGCTGGCTTCAGTATTGTCAGACTGACTCGCTGTGTACAAAGGGAAAGTTCCTGCCAGTTTTGTAGAATAATAAAAAGAGGATTATTCCAAGAAATTATGCATCCCCCACACTGTTGGAAGCCCACGGAGTGCTCTGCAAAGTGACCTTTTGTAACCACCCTGGGACAGCCCACTGGGGTGGCTGGGCAATGGAGCTGTACCATGTGAAGCTCCCCACATGTGCAGGGCTGTCAGAGCTGCAACAAAAGGTTTGGGGTCTTTAATTCTTGAAAAACAAAATGAGTGTTTGGGTGCTGGGTTTTTTCTCTCAGATGCTGGTGAGTGATGAGAAGAAAACCACGTGTATTCAGATTTCCTGCAGAGCTCTGGTGCTACACTACTGAAGCTATACACTACTATAGCTTTGGTTCTGTCACCGTGTCAGGCTGTAGGACATTCCAATATTGTTACAGTGTGATGGCTTTGGGGCATAACAACTGTCCCTAATGAGCTCTATCCCATCCCTGAGATCCAGTTCTCCAAGATCAAAGGGCCCTGCTCACCTTTAGGGTGGGCACCTTTTCCAAGCCTATTTCTATTTTTTCCTGCTGGTGGGATGGTGTTTTCTGTGATCTAAGATGATCTGTACTGTTTCATTTATTATTCCTTGTTTTATCTACAAAAGCCAAGCAGAAATGTTGGAGTTGCTGTTGCTGCAGAGCTGGGTGCTAGGTTTGCTCCACAGCCTCTGTGGCTTTCCCTGTTCCCCCTGACAGCTCTTTGAGTAAATCAATTAGGGACGAGTCTCTGTCCATCTGTCCCGGGAACTGTGTGTGGCATCCTGGAAACTGCTCTGGACTCGTGTTTCTATTCCTTTAATGCCTGTGATCCAGTTTGGGGGTGTTTACACAGGGCACAAGCGTGTGCACACAGTGGAGTGTTGGGATAACACCTGCCTAAACCAGTTTCTCTTGGACATTCCCAGTCCAGAGTTTCTCTCGGACATTCCCAGCCCACACTGCTCCAAGGACAGTGGCTCCGGGGTGCGTTGCTCCTGCCCCGGGCTGGCCCCAGCACAGGGAGCAGGTTAACCCGCTCTGGAGGTTAACTCTGCTTGGCAGAGCCTCCCACACCCGGGCTTACCTGTACCAGTAACCCCGTCACTGAGCACACACCCTCCCCGGGGGGCTAACGGAGGGTCCTTCCCTCTCCTCCTCTCTGGGGTGGGAGTGCAAAGTGATGAGCAGAGTCCCGTACCCTCCCCTTTCCCTGGGCAGTCCCGGTCAGGATCTCCCTGTGGAGTCCCCAGCCCAGGCAGGTGTCACCCCTGAGCAGGGTCCCTCAGTGCTGGGGCACAGCCACCCGCTCACCCCGTGGGGCTGGAGGAGCCCCAGGGCATGGGGGACCCGCTGCCCCTCAAGGGAGCAGGGCCACAGAATGTTCTGGGAGGGGCGGGGGAATGTTCTGGAAGGGGCGGGGCCACAGAATGTTCTGGAAGGGGTGGGGCGCTGAGGGGCGGGCAGGGAATGTTCTGGAAGGGCGGGGCCGAGGGGGGGTGCCCGTGCCCTGCCCCCAGGCCCCGCAGCCCCTCCCCGCGGCAGGAGCCCCCAGGGTGCCCCAGAGCCCCCCGGGTGCCCCAGAGCCCCCCGGGTACCCCAGAGCCCCCCGGGTGCCCCAGAGCCCCCCGGGCCCTGTTCCAGCTCGGGCTGTCCGGGGTGAGCCCGGCCGGGCTCGGCCGCCTGGAGCTCGGTTCCCTCAGAGCCCCTGCTCGCCTGGACCTGCCGCGGAGCCGCCTCAGGTAGGAGCCCTCCGTGTTTGTTACTGGCGGGTGTGTCTGGAATTCTCTAAGCCTGCCCTGTAATGGGACATCAGCCCTCAGGGCAGGGAACTGAACCCTGCCGGGTCCCACAGTAAGGTGAGGGCATTCCTTCAGGTGTGCAGGGACCAGCCTGGCTCTGCCATCCCTGCCCGGATCCCCTGGGACGGATCCCAGCCTGGCTCTGCCATCCCTGCCCGGATCCCCTGGGATGGATCCCAGCCTGGCTCTGCCATCCCTGCCCGGATCCCCTGGGATGGATCCCAGCCTGGCTCTGCCATCCCTGCCCTGATCCCCTGGGATGGATCCCAGCCTGGCTCGGGCACTCCGTGTGTCTCCAGCCCCATTCCTGGCTCCCTCAGAGCAGCTCCGTGGCTCTGTTCCCTCACCAGGGCCAGCGGCACAGGATTCGCTAGGTTTGCCTTTTACAATACCCGTGTTGTACAAAGCTGTGGGGAATGTTGGTTCCTGGGTGAAAGCAGAAGAGCTTCTCCCTTTCCCTGGCTCGTTCTGTGCAGAGCCAACCCTGGGAGTTGTGTGGAGAGCTCGGGATGTGTTTGTTGTGGGGTTTGTTTACTAACAAAGCATGTAAGGAACGAGCCCTGGGGGCCTGCTCAGGTCAGAGGATGCAGAGCACAGAGTGTCCCGAGCTGGAAGGACCCACAGGGAGCACCCAGTGCAGCTCCTGGCCCTGCTCGGGACACCCCGACAGCCCTGGCACTGATGGCAGGATGGATGGCCTTGAGCTGGAGGAGGGCAGGTTACACTGGACACTGGGAATTGAATCTCCCTCTGCCTGTGGGGCTCAGGGGTGAGTGTAGACACTTATTTGCAGAGAATTTTATTTTATTGCTATTTCCTGTAAAGAACACACACTGCATTTGGCTCATAATTTCAGTTTATTATCAAAATGTTTTGATCAGATGACGAACTCAGAAAGCTAAAAGGACATAGGTTTTTAAATAGACCTATTGTAGCAGTCATCTGAGGTATCTGGTACTTGGTTTGGTAATGTCTTTGCTTTGATACACAAAGCAGTAAGTTCCTTTGCAATCTGCATGAGGATGTTTAATACATATCACTGCAGATTTAAAGCCTTTTACCCTCTTACTTAAAGCTCCTCCTTGTGATCAGCTGTGCACATTTCCTGGTGTGAGGCCTGACATCGACCAGAACACGTACAAGTTATGTGCAGGATCAGACCCTAAGCACTGAGAAATCAGCCTGAAAACTCCAATATCAGTGCACTCCATTGGAGAACTCAGTTCTGGAGGCTTTATCTTATTGCCCAATACCATGCTTTACTCAAATTTCCCAGTTCTATGCAGCCACTGATAAAATATATTACAATACTTCAAGTCAAAAGTGTAGCTCAGATTTAAATATAAAAACTATGATTTATACATTACTAGAAACTTTTAAAAAGAGCAACTTTAGAGAAAGCAAGAAAAAGCTTAGAAAACTGTGAAAGGGTCTTTGATCACAATCTTAGAGATTATAGGTTCGAAAATTAAATTACCTACAATTTCAGTTGGGCTGGAAAGCAGTAAATAAACTGTTGTAAATAGTGACATCAGGTAATACACGCTGGAGTAATTAGTGAGAAGTTATTTAAGTACAGCAGGTCTTTGGACTCCTCTTGTATAAATGGTTTCAAGTAAAGATGAAACATTTGGTAGAGCAGATTTCCCATAACAGCAGAGGGTACAAAGTCTGACACTGGGCTATGAACTGTCGTTTTTCTATCGTGTTATGATGGCTAAAGCCGTGTGTTACTGAGCGTCTCCTTCCTCCCCTGGCCAGAACTGGGCCCTCACCGACCGCTGGGAGATCACAGGTTGTACTTTGACATCTTAGAATGAATCCAGAAAGCCAGTGGCTGTGGGGAACAGGGTTAAGCTACAGTGCATGTTGCTGTACATGGTCAGTGAGTTGGATCCTACAGGGTTCCGTGGGGGAGAGGCAGCCAGTCAGCTACAGCAGCTCAGGGCTGCCTTAGTCCTCCTGGGATGCTTTGGTGGGTGATGATTTGGGGTTTGCATGTTTACCAACAATTACAGTGACTACTCTAGCATATTCCCCTCGGTTTTCTTCCCTCCTTCCCTTCTCAAAATTGGCTGAAAGCGTCTCTTTTCCTGGAAAGCTCCTCGGGGTGGGAGGTTTGCAGTCTGTCACCAAACGCGGCACTTCTTAGCAGGATCCATGTTGTCTTCCGTGGTGCAGGAAAAGGCTTCAGAAAACTCTGGAGAGTTCTGCAGGGATCCGAGGACCCTTTGAAACAAAACAACAGCTTGTCATTGCTCCTTGCCTTTGTTTGAAACAAACACCACCACTCGTATTTTGTAATTTGGTTTGTTTGCATCAGTTTGTGTCAACTCACACCGGTGGGGAACGCCCTTACTGCTGAGCTCTGAAGCTTCATTTCCCCTCAAGCAGCGGCTGTGTTTTCTCTTGCCAGTTTGTATGACCCTTATTGCAACCCCCAAAATACAGGCCCTGTCCCTTCCTCATTACTGGCCCTCACAGCCCATTTATTTCACCTGGAAGAGGTTTCTTGCTTGTTTGTAGTTTTCACTGAAGGTTTTTTCGGCTACATTTTGCTGACAAGTTCCTTGGTGAAGGGAAAACAAGACCCTGAGGTCGAGGGCTGTGGTGTAACTTGTCAGTGAATGTTCATTTACATTTTGACACCAGGCAAGTTTTAGCTGAGATCCTACTCCTTCTCTGGGCATTGTCCACAGATGTTCCAGTGAATGAGTTTCCTGGCAAAAAGACTTGTACAAACAACAGCCTTCAAGTGAATATGAGGCCATTCCAGCTAAGGCTGATTTGATATGTGTAATTGTGAACATGTGTGAATAGATCTGCTAAGAGCTGCTCAGTCCTTCAGGAATGGGAATATGGCAGCACACACCTATGGAGGACAACAATTTCAACTTCAGTGTCATATACGGGTACTGGTGGACAATGACTGTGGACCAGGAGTTCTTTAAAGAACTGTTTGTTTAATTTGTGGTTGTTCTGTGGATAATCTTAACCATTAGACTAGGCAGAAGCAGGACATGCCCACAGAAGCTGAGGTGAAGTTCAGCAGTTGACACTTGTATCGGTTTGTCTCTACAGGGCCAAAAATGACTCTTGCCCACTGGTCCTGGGAGCCAGCAGTGAACAGGGGGTGGCACAGAAACAGGATTATTGAACAAGTCATGCATTTTGGTGAAGCTGTGCTTCACTGCCTGGAAGGACTGGAACTGCTAAAACGGGATTGTGCCAAAACAGAGGAAAAAGTATTTGGGGTGTACTAAAATTCTACTTACACAAAACAGCAGTGGGATAAGAATCCTGCTTCATTTACTGATATCCCCAGAACTACAGGATTTGGTACCTGAGCAGATACAGGTCAGGGGCTTTTATTGTGCTTGCTGTGTTTTAATTTTGCATGTTAACACTCAGGTACATTGTCCTTCACCTGCTTTTGATGATTACCTGATCAAAGGCATCTTTCTGTTAACTCCTGATTTTCCTACTGGAACAAACATTCTCCCTGTCCAGTTGTGAACCCATTAACTAAAATTGTACTGTGCAATTAGCAAGTTTATGAGGAGCGGCCTGTCCTGCATGGAAGGAGAAACAGCCTGCAGTCAGTGTAGCCTGTGTTAAATGGCCCATCCCACCCCCAAATAGTAATTAATAAAGATGCATTGGGAGCCTTGGTGACACTTCAGTAGTATGTCATTAGGCATCGATTTTGTGGGTAGGTCTCATGTACTGAAACACTTTTGTTTTAGAGCTCTTGTGAGGCCCCATCCTGAAAATGACTTCACATTCTGAAAGTGTTTATGGTTTCTCATTAACACTTGTGTCATTCCAAATAGAGTTCATAGCCTTCCCTACCAAGGTACAGACAGCACAACACAGTGTAATATATCCAAGGTACACCCAAATACAGTTACACAGAGATGTTGAACTGGTGAACTCCAAAGGCCTTGTGCCTCTTCCAGATCAGATCTGCAGGGAGGCTCTGGAGAGCCCTGGAGCCTCGTTAGCACAGGGACCAGACAGGAAGGACTGTAGGGCACAAACTGCCTCCAGGAGAGATCCCAGGGAGCACAAACCACCCACACTGAGAGCCAGACAAGGAGCACTGAGGGAACAGTCGCTGCTTTCATTAAGTGTTTGAGTATGTGGGATAAACAAGATAATTCTTTGGTGAAAAGCCGTTGAAAGAAGGATACTGGAATTAATGTAGTGGATTGTATTGGGAGAGAACTCGGCCATTGTGGACATGAAGTCTGGAGATGACTCAGCCTTCCAGAGCCAGCAGATGCTGTGCTGGCTGCACTGTTCCTGAGCCCATGGCACTTGACCAAACAGGTTTGTCAGAGCACAAACCCTGTTACTCTGCTGATGAATAGGCTGCTCTGGCTTCAGAGAAAAGAAGAGATGCTAGTCTGGCCCGAAGGCTTCCACACTGAGCAGCCACATTTCCTGCATGGCTCTACTGAGCTGAGCCCACCTGACCCTGAGGAGGCTGGCAGAGCACAGCAGGCACAAAGTACCTGTTTGCTCTTGCACCACAGCACACGAGCTTGTCACTGAGCAAGGGCCACGATCTTCCACTGATTCTACTGGGACTTCAGTGGAAGACAAAGGTCCATCCACAGCCTTTGGTCTATGAGAACCCTCTCAGGAGCTATGGAGGGAGCCAGGGGACTTCTGGAAGAGCCCTGGAATCCAGACACAGTCACTGAGACTGCTGTAACAATCATGCTTGTCTGGTGACAGCCAGGAGATGTGTTTGTGTCTGTGGTGGTGCCTGTTCAAAGCTGCTCCACAGTGTGGACAGAATTAACCTGTATCATTTCAAGGATGAGGACAACTCTCCCTCATCCTTTCTCTGCCTGTGGAGCTTCCCGGGAAGGGCTGTGCCTGTTTGTGCAGCACAGGGCTGTGCCGGGCTGGGAGAGGGGCAGTCTGTCTGT